CTGCGGGGAACTCTGCAAAAAACGCATCTTCGCACGGGCAGCCCGTGCGTTGGCCAATTTTTGATTATGACAAACGACTGACAAGCGATTAAAGCACAGCCTATTGATAGACGCGAAAGGATTTGATTTTTGCATGGACAGCAATACGCCAAAGAGTCTTAAAACTAAAATTCTAGCTTCAAAAGTTTTTATAGATGGTTCGATGGACGCAGAGCGCAGCAATGTAACAGATTTGGTGAGCAGTATTGATCCTGTTGGTGAACGAACTATTCTTGTATTAACAAAGGTCAGCTAGCAGTTGCTATTAATTATAAAAGAAATTTTAAGGAGATGTTCCTTGCCTACGCACAATCAACTGACTTCATAATCAGCCCCCCAGATGTGCGTAGTTCCGCCCATGAAAATTTTTTGCGGGTAAGTTGCGAACTCGGAAACCTGATAAGCATGAAAGCTGAAATTTTAAGGGGATGTTCCCTGCCTACGCACAATCAACTGACTTCAGAATCAGCCCCCGGTTATGCGTAGTTCTGTCCATGAAAATTTTTTACGGGTAAGTTCCGAACTCGAGGACCTGAAAAGCTAGAAATCTGAGATTTTAAGGGGACGTTCCTTGATGTTAGTAATGAAATAAGCAGTTTTTACTCGTTAAAAATTGTACTTCAGATTTTTGTTGCAGGTTGATTTGGCGGAAAAGAATTTCACAAATCCGGATCGGATAAAAAAAATTCTGGAAGGCAAACTGTTTCCAATGAAAGCACTTGGTTATTATGCTGTTGTTACGGGTAAAGGCTCAAGCACCGAAAGTATTGACTCAATTGTACAGTATGAGGAACAGTTCTTCGCGCAGTCAAAACTATTCAAGTAGGCATTTAAGGAATTTCTACTAGCCAAATAGTTCAGTTGTGGTAATGGTAAGAAATATATACGAATTAATGGACCGAAACAATTCTCACCATTAAAATAATTCTATTTATTTAAAAATTTTGCAATTTTCATCCCCTACCGCTCTTTCTACTTTTTTCTTCTGTTGTTAATATACCTTTCTATTTTCTATTTTAAATGTTACCCGCTTTGAAACTCGAAATCCACGGTGGTTTTTCGCCGCGTGGAAGCAGAGATTTGGCTCTGAGAACATTTATTAATATCAGCTACAACGAAAAATGGATGAGTTCCTCTCCGAAATCATTAATCCGCTTTGTAGCCGGTAATAAAGGAAGTAGAACGGAAGGGCAATAAAGGCCCAAACTAAAACTGCAAAATTCCAAGCTGAGTCGACGGG